TAAAATATATCTTTATTGATTTCAGAGAGAGGAAAGGAGAGGGACAGAGAGATAGAAACATCAATGATGAGAGAGTCATTGATCGAGCCCGCAACCCGGGCATGTGCCCTGACCGGGAATCGAACTTCGATCGCCTGGATCTTAGGCCGAAGCTCAACTGCTGAGCCACGCCCGGCCGGGCTCTTCCTGTAATTTCTTAATTTTTGCTCCTGACTCACAATAACTCTCACCAAATTGTTCCTCAGGATTACTGGTGATTTCAAAATCCTGCCTGGGCCATGTTCTTCCCAACGCCCTTGCTTTTTAGTTGTCAACCTCAACTCTTCCATGGATATCAACTTCCAGACTCCTCAGTGACTCACTCACAGAACCCCTCCCAGACCTTATCGTTACCAGTTAGTGTATCCGCTTCATCACCACCATTTCTATGCTCCCATTCTCAGGTCATCTCCTCCTGTCTTCCCAGCTCAGTCCCTTTGNAGACCTTATCGTTACCAGTTAGTGTATCCGCTTCATCACCACCGTTTCTACGCTCCCATTCTCAGGTCATCTCCTCCTGTCTTCCCAGCTCAGTCCCTTTGGTGCTTCTCCTTCCATTTCACAGGGAGCATTAAGCCTCTCACCCATTTCATGTTTACTTCCCTTTTCCCTGATGTTCAGTCCCATATTAATTTGGTTGTATCTTATTTACAACCTTCACTAGTGTTTTCTCAGTTCAAGCATTCTTATGGCAAAATAAAAGACCTGGTTATATTCAAACTACCATCTACTTTGTGCCTTCACCCTCACAACTTAGCGTTTTTAAAGAGAAATAAAAATAATTCTGATTTGCCTTACTTTAAGGTCATAATGACTAAATTCAGGCAGGCATATCACAGGTGCCCAGCTTTCAGCCTGACTTCCCTGGACAATCCACATGCTCAGTCTTTGACTATCTGGCACCCTCTCTCTCATCACACCTTTAAAACTTCCTCCCTTATCCTCTCTCTTAGTGGATCGCTTTGCTTTCTGTTTCACTGATTAATGGAAGCGAGCCAAGGTCATGTTCACAAGCACCCCCCTCACACCCACACACCTGTGAGCATCTGAGCCAAACATTAGGGCTCCATTCTTGTTACTTGTCCCTCTCACCTCTCTAGGTCACTGCTGCAGCAGTTTCCCCCTCTGTCCTTCACATTGAATAATTTTCCTCTAGTGGATCTTTTCGGTCAAAATAAAAACATCTGCCTCCTTTTTAAGAGAAACCCCTTTTAGTTTTAATCTCTCTTCTGCCTACTGCCCATTTTCTTCATATCTTTGGCAGCAAACCCCTCCAACAGTATATTCATTCTACTTCTAATCTATGTCATTATATTAGCCTAGTCTAACTGGGCTTCCACCCACACCATTCCACTGAAAGTGCTCAGTTCTCATTCTATTGAACATACCAGCAGTAGGTGTGATAGGGCTAATTTTTCTCCCTAAAATATTTTTTTTGCACAAGTACACACTATATTCTAGTTCTACTCCTATTTCATTTGCTGCTGCTGCTGCTGCTGAGTCTTCACTGGACCCGTCTCATCTCATTGCTCAGCCTTTTGACATTGGAATGTCTCCATGCTCAGTTCTTTCACCTCTTCTTGTTTTTATCTGAATTTCTTTCCTTGACTTTATTTAAAATCCTGGTTGTAAATGCCTGTTAGAGACTGACAAGAGAAGAATGTCTATCCCTCGCTTAGATCACTTCCCTAAATTCTGATTCCTATATTCATCTCCCTTTTTATATATGATAGATACGTCAAAATCAAGATGTCATTAAATCAGTTTGTCAACTTGTTTTGCTAAACTGGCTTCTCACAAGACTTCTTGATTTCAGTTTAAATCAGTATCATCTTTCTAATAAATACTAATGGTTCAAAAATAAGTTAATAAAAATAGAAAGCAAACATGCCATAGGATAGGAAAAGTCAAAATCTGGTCCTTTAAAAAGCACATATATTAATACATATAAATATGTGAGATTTATGTATGTAAAATAGTGTGTATACATGTAGATACATACACACTCAAATATCCAAAAATACATGAATACAATACCCTTGAATTAAAAAGAGGTGATCACAAAAGGCCCATAAGGCATTAAGCTCTTAATACAAAGATATTAAAAGAAACTTTATTCCAATTGGTTTAAAAAATGTACTATAGGTGCCTTTTTTTTTTTTTAAGAAAACCCAATTTAGAAAAACAGACACAAAATGAAGTGAAAACTCTGAACAGTGTTAAAACTATTAGAATGAATAAGAAAAAGTTCCAACCCCAATGCCAGAGGACTTTTCCTGAAATATACATTATCGCGGAATACCTGGTGACAGGAAGCGCCACAGACCATGTGAGAGAACAAATCATAGCACCACAGGCTTGTTTGTTTTCACTCTGCTCTATTTTCATTGATTTTTATCTCATTTAAATTTTTAGCAGATATGCACTATTTTTTTTATCATAGCCTAACTTTCTTTTTAACATTATTGATATTCTCAGAAGGAAGAAGATGATTGTACTGAATGGTAGGAGTGTTTCACATTTCAAAATAAGATGAAGAAGCATAAACTTAGAAATTCATTTCTCTTACGGAGCTATTACAGAGCAAGACGAATGTCTTTCCTTGTATTAATGTAAACCATACATATTGTGAGATAAACCTTTCCACATTTCAAGTTATTTTGTGGATAATCATTTATGTGAACTCTAATTAGGCAAGGAGTTTTAGGAAATTTGGAAATGAAACATATGTCAAGGTCTACATGATTACACAGATATAGCACTGCCTGCGTGTATTTCTATTACTATGTGCATATACATCTCTACATCCGTGGCAGCAAAGCATTTAATTCACTATCTTGATTTGTATTTTACTACAATGATCTGAATGGTGGCTGGGGGGAGAATCAAAAGGTAAGTCTCTTGGTCCAAAGGAAAAAAAATTCTTTATATCCCCACGTTATGTTGACCCAAGTTAGGATAACTTCAGTGAGAATATGTGGTCAAAAACCTGCAGTACTGTTGGTATGACTGGAAGTCATAAGTACTCTACGTGTTAGTATGACCTGCAATCTTTCTCTTCCACCTTCAGAAATGAAACATGATCAGATCTGGCTCAGTCTACTCTCAAATTCCAGATGTTCACAGAGTTAGTTTACTATCACCTTCTTAATCACCTTTCACTGGAGAAAGAAGTCAGAGATTGGTCACTTCAGGCAATTGCTGTCACCAAGGGTTACTTTCTCATGTAAGAAACTGGGTGTTTTTGACTGGTTGAAAGCTTGTCCCCTGTTTATATGGCATTGAAATCCTATGCAATGTCATCCATTCAAAGTTCTGACATTTGAAACAGCTTATACCACTCTGTTGGATTATGTTTTATTTTTGAATCAGCTGTAGAAAATATGTTATTTGTCTTCATTTTATAAGACAAATTCCAAGGGCCAAAAATGTAGGCCCCATCTGTTATCAACTATCCCGCTATATCTGGATAATGGCTGAGAATAAATTTATACTGTGATCTGGTCAGAAAGGATGTCAAATAATCCAGTAAAGTGTGTGTGTGTGAGTGTGTGTAAAAGGAAACTATTTTTGTTTATGTTACTGATTATGTAATTCATTTCAAGTAGACAAATATGTTTGAATGAATACATCACCATCAAATATTTAGTACTTTGTCCCATACGTTGTTTGTACAGACTACAGTTTGTATATAATTGGCAAGAGTATAGCCTTTCTTTTGGCAATATGATAGTTTGGATGATCACAAAATATGAAAAAAAACTGTTGAATTTGAAATCATAAATTAAAGAAGGACATTATTACGAATTCTACAGAAATAAAAATGATTATACATGAGAACTATGAACAAGTGTAACCAAACAAATTGGTTACATTAATAATGAACAATCCAAAAAGAAAATTAGGAGAATAATTCCATTTACAATAGCATTAAAAAAAAAAAAAAGACGTACGAATTAACCAATGAGGTGAAAGATTTGTATAATAAAAACTGAAAAACACTGTTAGTAGATTACAAATATATAGAAATTCATCATGTTTATGGATTGGAAGACAATATCATTAAGATGGAAATACTACTCAAGAGATCCAGAACCTAAATCTAATATCTATAAAAATCTGAATATATTTGGCAGAAATTAAAATATATATGTGCTAAAATGTATATGGAATCTCAAGAGAACCCAAACAAGATTTGAAAAAGATTTTAAAACAATCTTGAAAAAGATTGGAACTTTTTGACTTCTGACTTCAAACCTCACCACAAAGCTACAGTAATCAAAAGGATGTACTGGCATGAAGATAGACATACAGACCAATAGAATATAAAAATAACAGCCTAGAAATAAACTTTTATTTTTATGTTCAAATTATTTTTAACAAGGGAGCAAAGAACATTCAACGTGCAAAGGACAATCTCTTCAGTAAGTGGTGTTGGAAAAACTGGACATCAAAATGCAAAAGAATGAAGCTGGACTCTTACCCATTACTATACATAAATTAATTCAAAATGGAGCAAAGACTTAAATGTAATATCTAAAACTATAAAGCTCTTAGAAGAAAACAGTGCAAAGTCTTCACTACATTGGATTTGGCAATAATTTCTTGGATATAATACCAAAGAAACAAAAGACACAAGATTCAAAAATAAACAATTTGGACTTCATGAAATTTTTCCAATTGTGCACATAAAGAAAGCACTATCAACAAATTAAAAAGGCAACGCAGAATGAGAAAAAATTGCATATAAGTCTTATAAGGTATTAATATCCAGAATACATAAAGAACTTCAAAAAATCAAAAATAAAAACACATGGTATGATTTAAGGTTGGAGAATCAGTCAACATTTGTAAATAAACACAACTAAATTGAATTTCTCAGAAATTACTGCTCATATAAAATACAGTATTATACCACAGCAGGTGTCAGGAAATGCAAAGAGTTTGAGATTTTATCTTACCTGCAAACTAACAGGCAAGTTAGTGTGCCACTCTCTCATGGTTGTTGTTGACAGGACATGAGACTCCTGGAAAAGAGACAAAGGTCTTTATTACTTACAGCAATACCAGCAGTTAAGGTATGAGCATTTTCTTGTACTAGCTCCTTGAGCCTGAATCCCACAGCATGCCTGCCCTGTTGCTCAGAGGGTGACACCATTTCTATATCCCAAGGTTATACCAACATCCTTGAAAAGTTTGTTCAAAACAAAGGCAATCAGAACCTCTACTCATAAGAGGTGCAGAAATATGAGGCCCACAGAACACTGTCTCCCAACACATTATAGAACATAGGATCTCTCACTTGCTAACTCTGTGACCTTAGACAATTCTATTAACCTCTCCAAACCTGTGTTTCATCATCTCTAATCTAGTCATAATCACAGCTGGATGGAGTGGTTGTGAGGATTACATGGAGTCTACAATCTACATAACAGTGGAAAACAAGCGTGTGGCACAGTGGAAGCACTCAATGAAGTTTATCTAGTAGAATCACCAGGCCTAGAAAAACAGCTAAGTCTTTTGCATGCTGTGAGGTGTTTGGGCTTAGCCTCCAGGACCTAAATTTGAGAGAAATTTAAAGCTAACAATGCAGGAGGACCTCAACTGACAACAACTGCCAATTGCTAAATGAGTAGTGTGAAACAAACATCGCTGGAAATGTGGGAAAGTTGGTCATAATCAAGGGCATGAAAAGAAGACACTAGGCTTACATGAGTCCATTGACTGCATTATAACACCTGAAAGAGTGAAAAGGCTAGACAGAGGATGGATAAATGAATGGTAGAGACAGACAAACTGAGAAATTGCCACACAATAGATCATCGAAAAGTGATGGCTAGCCTAACCTGCATGGCTCAGCCGTTGAGCATCAACCTGGGATCCAGGAGATCATGGTTCAATTCCTGGTCAGGGCACATGCCCGGGGCACAGGCTCAATCCCCAGTAGGGGACGCAGCCGATCACTGATGTTTCTATCTCTCCCTTTCCCTTTCTTTCTCTAAAATCAATAAAAGATATATTTTTAAAAATAAATAAAGAAGAAAAAAGTGATGGATAGAATGCTGTTTAGTGGAAAATCAAGGAGAGACTTAGGATTTGTCTTTCACAATAAATCTTCTCTGGCTTCTCCCACACATATGGCTTGTCCCACTTTACTGGGGCATCTAGCATCTTTGTCCTGGGTTAAAATGCATTACTAAGTACAACTTTAACCTCCTGATGCAGGAGAAAATATCTAGGATGCATCAGGCTGAATGGCATGTACTTTTTCAGAGCAAGAGTGGTCTGAGTACCAAAGTCTCATGTCGTTAAGATATTCTCAGAAACAGATAGCCGGTGTCAAATCATTACATTTTAATTTCAGCAGGCAGAAACTGATCTTTACTACAGTGAACTGTATAGTTCACGTAGGAACCGCTACGTGAATTTGTAAACTGATTCAATCTTCCCCTTGTGTAATAATTTGATCTCATATATCTGTTTTCAGTATCTTAGCCTTTTCTCAATATAATTTTGGGCTTGAGCAGAGCACCTATAATTAGTAATCTTATTCTTAATTATAGGTTTCAATCAAAGTCCCAATTGTGTTCTAAGAACTGAACTCAGTATTTCACATGTGTTTCATATATGTTAGCTCATAAAACTAAACTATTTAAAAAAATAACTCTATTGTACAGCTTTGGAAACCAAAATCTACAGAAGTGAATGAAGTAGCTCTGGTCACATTAGTAAAGCTGAATCTCAAAGCCATTTTTGCATGACAGTGAAGTCCATGATCTTATCTGTATAGTATGAGTGGCTGCTCAGAATTGGCTGGTAAGTAACCTTGACATGGCCATTCTTTGGGCAAATATTAGGAAGTTGATAATCTAGAAGAGAAGCTAGCTCACTTGCTAACCTCCTGAAGGTTCACTCGTAGCAGAGCCACTCCCTACAGTCCGGTTTTCAGTGGTGGCAGCCTGCTGAGACTTTCCATTGACTTTCTGGATGACTAGCCTTTAATTCTTCAGCTCAGAGATTTCCTCATCACTGCTAAAAGCATATTCTGGCAATATCTATCCATCTGTTGGTCTCTTCTGACATAAAGCTACAATAGGTCTTCACCTAATGGCATCAACAACTTAAAGTGAAATGACACATAATGAAGCTAGATATAAACAAGATTTAAGTACCTATGGTATCTAACTGACATAATAAAGAAAAGACATCAAACAAAATGAGCTATGTGAGGATCTGTTGCATTTTTAAAGCTTAAAAGAAAAGTTACTATGTGTTGCTCATTTAAAATATGTATTTTTTAATATTTGCAACTTGATATACCAACATTGATCTTTCCCCACATCATCACACACACAGGAAGCAGGTGAATTGTCTGAAGCTCTCTACTTTAAGAGACACTCTCTAAAGGCAAGAGAAAGGACACCTGCATGCTTGGTAGCCTCAGGAAGTACTCTGAAATTTGTGGGAGTTGATCCTATATTTCATATTTTTTATGGCCTTCAAGGGTCTTACAGAGTTGGTCTAAAGGTAGGCCTTAAAGAAACTCTTGTGCTGATTATATATGTAAGCAAAGTATTTTAATAGATCTGAGCCTCACCGCAAAATAATAAATAAAACATGTAATGCTGTCGAACTTCACTGTTGATAAGAAGCAGCTGAAGAAATGAGAAATATGAAAGCAGACAGAATTTTTGCTCCTTCTATATTTTTTTTATATGCTCCATACAGCTCCTCATATCATAGGCTCATTTATTTGTTGAGAAGTTTTAAACCTATGTTAAACATGAACATGTGCCATATTAGAATTACGAGGGGGCTTCATGGATGCAGAATATTTCCATGAAACAGAAACGTTGCGGTTGAAGAAAAAGAAGAGAAGGGTACTTTTATGTAGTAAATTTAGATCTACTAACTAACGTTAAAGACATAAGTGTGCTAAACTGAAGTACATTGCTTTACATTTAGGAAGGAAAAAGAAATGAGTGAAAGTAGTGATGCAAAATAAGCATTTACTCAGAATAAAAATGAATCACTTGAGGTACTCAAAGGTTAGAATATTAGAGAGCATAAAGTACTTGTAAAATCCTCCTAAATTGTTGTTGTACTTCACCTCACAATGCTCACATAAAACTGATTATTTTATACATCCACAAATCCCCATCCCGCTACACTTCATGACATTTCTAATTCCTCAATTCCTGTAAAAAAAAAAAGATATACTTAACATTTCCTACTCACTTGACTCAGAGGTTTTTATTCAAATTTGCTACCCTTGTCCAATTAATGCATTGGAAAATTTANAAGATATACTTAACATTTCCTATTCACTTGACTCAGAGATTTTTATTCAAATTTGCTACCCTTGTCCAATTAATGCATTGGAAAATTTAGTTTTAAAAATATTTATTAACTCAGCTAATTCAGACTGCAGAATTAAAGAGAAAAACAATTTAAATGAGATAAATTGTAGGTGATAATTTGACAATTAAGTTTTAAAAACAGAAGTGGACTAGATAGCTCCCGAAATTTCCTGCGTCAGTCTCAGGTTGGCCTCGACCTGAGTAGACATTAACATCACGTGGTCACCTTCTGGGTCACAGGCAGACTGCCATCACCACAAAGCACTGGTCCATGTTTGAGAATTGCATTCATTCTGCCATTAAAACTAACTTTATTGCTAAAGGTGAACAGGTCTTAAAATCTTAGTGATTCTGAACTGTTCATAGGTTTAATTATGGCACTTCATATAGGCTATAATTAGCAAAGAGCCCTAAATTAATAGGAAAAATTTCTACACAAGTGTCTAGTTTTACATTGTAAACCATTTAGCAGTTACCTGGAGCCCTTTTAAAGGCAGCTTTAAATGATCCATGGCTGGTTTCCAAAATAAATAAATTAAATTTGGCTATTAGAGAATGTTAAGAGTTAAAAACAATTTTAATGAAAAACAGTGGCGAACTCAGCATGGCTGTGGGCTTTTTGTTTGTTTGTTTGTTTATTAACTTTCTTTAGTGGCTTTGAATGGGACAATGCCTCGGTAATAATTGGAATGCTAGAAGCTGACAATTCTGGACGTGATTTAATTCCCATTTTTCCATCCCTTTATGTTCCTACGACTTTACAAAATCATAATCCAACAATAATATTACTGGGAACACAGATGGCAACAAAGAACCATTACTCCGTTCTCCCGTTTCATTCCCTTTGGTTCCTTTTTCCCGTTTGCTTTGACCGATGTTCCTATTCCTGAGAGCTAAACGATGACAACTTTCTGTCATCTTGATTTACAACAAGGAATTGTTGAAAACATTAGAGTACCCAGCGAGTCAGTGGTAACAGAAAGCCATCAGAGCTCAGATGTTCTTGTCGCCCCGGCTCTGAGAGACAACCTATCTGAACCCGGCCAAAGTGTGTCCTTGAGGAAACTGGGGCCCTAAAATGTGCACAGGACCTGGGTTCAGCCCTGAAGTTACTGCTGCTTCCCCAGGAAGCTGTTTGCATGGTGGCTGCCGGCTTGTCTTCCATTGTATGGAAAATCAAGCAGCCCTGAGCCCTAATTTACTGCCAGGGCATTCAAGTTTCATAAAGAAATGGGTGTCTAAGAAAATGTGAAACACAAATTGATGTTTGAGCAGCTTACTGTGGAATATAAATTACTACTTTTGTGTGCTTCTTTATAATTGCTACCTAATTTTAAAAACCTAGATTATTCACATTTTACTATAGTTTTTATTTAATGTAAAACCAAAATTAACCGTATTAATTAAAATCCCGAATTCATCAATTTTACTATAAAAATAAATTAAGCACATTTCAATATAATTTAAAATATATTTATAATAACTATTACAAATATTTATTGACTGGAGAGGGTTGTTCAGAAAGTATGTACAAATTATTTTAAAATTGTGATTATTATTATCCAATATTAATGTAAAAGGATATTTTCTTTAATATGCAGAAAAACTTTGTATTGTAAATTAGAACCAGCCTAGATTTAGTCATTATATTAATTATTGGATATTCA